GAAGGCCACAATGAGGTCTCCTAGATGCTTCTCTTTTCCAAGCTAAACAAACTCAATTTCCTCTACTCTTCTTCATAGGAGTTTTGTTTTTTTTTTTTAATTTACTATTTCAAATTATTCCATATTATCTCACATTATTTTTAGTAAGTTAATTTTCTTACCTGAATCAAGTTGGCTTTTTTTCCCCTACTTCTTCCCCTTCTCATGGGGGAAGGGAAGGGTGTTGCATAATAAATTCTAATTGTAACACTTCCGTTAGATCCATATTTACCAATTCTGTCTTTCTTCCCCACCTGCTAAACATCGAGAAGAAGCACTACAAATTGTTGAGGATGAAGAATATTTGCTTACACGTTACTAACTCTAGTCAAGGATATCTTTCTTATTCCAGTCTTGAAATACATCCTTCCCTCCCTTTCTCCTTTTCACTCTTTATTCCTATGGGAAAACATATTCCTATGCTTTAACTGTTCGCTTTGTATTGATTAATATAGAACTTGTCATAAATGAGTTTTGGAAAATACAAGATAGACTTTGCTGTGCAAGCAGTATTCACATGTTTCAGACATAACTGCAGAAGTTATTAGGTATAAGGTAATTTGTTTAAAAAATGTTTATTTGTGGTCATAGAATCAGAGAGTAGTTTACGTTGGACAGTACCTTAAATGTCATCTACTTCTATCCTCCTTGCCATGGCCAGAAGCACCTTCCACTGGTTCATAATGTCAGATCAATCTCCCTCCTTTTTATAATCTTCTTTTAAATACTGGAATACTGCAGTGAGGTCTCTTCACAGCCTTCTCTTCTCCAGGCTGAACAAGCCCAGATCCCTCAGCCTACCTTTGCAGGGGAGGTGCTCCAGTCCTCTGATTGTCTTCATGGTCCTTGTCTGGACTCTTTGCAGTGTTTTAGGCTGATTGAGAGAACAAAATCTACCACTGTGCACAAGGAACTCTGGTCAGTGGCATCTTACAGAAGTTCAAATCCCTGGTTTATGAATGTGATTAGTCACTTGAGCTGTGTAGAAATGCTGTGACAATGTGTGAATAATTCCTGCACGTGCTTTTTTTTATTTCCTATGAATTGAATAGACTGTTTTAGAGCAGCAGAAGAGAAGAGACAAATATAAATCATACTCTTTTTCAGTCAAGGTTTGCAGAAACATCATCTGCTTAATCCTTTCCAAATTTTCACCGTGTTTTGGCAAATGTCTTAAGTCCGGGTGTCACATGCTGTTCTGAGAAATGAAGCTGCTGTACAGCTGAAGTGGGAGAGCGTGGGATTTGACTGGAAAGCAAATAAGCAGGTGAGAAAGGAAGGAGTGGGTAATCCACCTGAAGTTTGTGCAAAGAATAGAATGGGAATCCAGAGGAGGGACATAAAGATTGTTGGGGGTCTGGAGCATCTCTTCTATGAGGAAAGGCTGACAGACCTGGGACTGTTCAGTTTGGAGAAGACTGAGAGGGCATCTTATCAACGCTTATAAATAAAGTGTGGGAGTGAAGTGGATGGGGCCTGGCTCTTTCAGTGGTGCCCAAAGACAGGAAAAAGGGTAACAGCCACAAACTGGAACACAGGAGGTTCCATCTGAACATGAGAAAAAAATTCCGTATTGTGAGGGGGACAGAGCATTGGCACATGGTGCCCAGAGAGATTGTGGAGTCTTCTCTGGAAATATTAAAAACCCATCTGGATGCTTTTCTGTGTGACCTGTTGTAGGGAACTGCTATAATGGAAGGTTGAACTGGATGATTTCCAGAGGTTCCTTCAACCCCTATGATTCTGTGAAATGTCAAAATAAGTGCACTTAAAAATATAAACTGATCTAAATGATGGAGTTAGAGTGGGATCTCATGTTTCTGCCTGCCCTATGTTTAAAATGGTGAAGCAAACATTGTTTGTTGGTCCCTGCAGGAAGGCAGTGAGCCAGAGATGCTGTAGCACTCAGGTGTGCATTGTGTGAGCTAGAATGGGGTCCTTGTGACCAGGAGCCCAGGGAGAGGCTGAAGGAGCAGCCAAGGCATGTAGCTCTTTGTCACCAGGGAGGGGGTGCTGTGAATAATTTGAAGTCCACCCATTTTGCCACCTGTAATGGCCATCTCTATCTTCTCTCAGGATGTTGGTAAGACTGCAGGGTTGCTCTTTATTAGAAGGTGTTTGCTCTAGCAGCGCCCAAGTCTTCAAGTGGTTTGAAAAGACTTTAGAAAGAGTAGAATGTTTTTGACAAAAAATAAAATGGAGTGTGATTCTATTCCTGTGAATAGAAAGTTATGTAAACTAGGCATGCTGTTCCTTCCTGCAAAGTGCAGTTCCTTTTGTGATCACTAAGTGGTGAGGTTCAGCCGTGAAGATTTCATCATAAGGATCTTCAAGTTTCTTGAAGTTCTTCTGTCAATGTTTTGTTTCAAAATCGTAACAGAGCTAACATAAGTGCACCAGCAAATCCTGGAGAGCATCTCCACATCCCTGTAGAAATCACTGTCATCCTGCCAGGAGACTTTGATGCAAAAGGATATAGTTCCAGTAAACCTTCTGTGTTTTTCAGTTTTGAAGGTTCTGAGGGTGAAGATTAGAAATTAGGTATTTGCTTGTAAATCGTAAGTGTCTATTTCAAAGCTGTCAGTTTACCCCTCTGACATGGTCCAGGGTCTTGCTTCATATCTTATTGGAGCTATCTCCTGTACAATAGCTGTAGAATGGTCTGGAAAATCTCACAGGAAACATATTTCACAGATTTCATGTTCTTGCTTCATTTGATTAGGTCAAAATGCTCTTCCAGAAATACCGAGGTAGAATAAGACAATGGAAATAACTCTAGGAAAGGAAAACACAGTGATATACCTCAAAAGGGGAATACTGTGGTGTGAGGTAGTCCCAGTTTGCCGAATGAGATGAGTGAATCACTGTGCCTACTCAAAAGTGTGTCCAAAATGTTTCTTAAGCATAATAGGAATACCAGAACTCCAGCTACAGGGTTTTGTTTTGTTTTTTAAGGTAATTAATTACCACTTGAAAGGAGGAACTGTGTGTGTGAACATGCTTAAGAAGTTTTTGTTGTGTTGTGGCTTGGGTCTGTTGGTTTTTCCCAAGCCACTCACATGATTGAAGGTTAGCCTGTGCGGCAATTCAGATAAATGATAAACAAAAACATTTCTAATGCAGTCACAGTTGTCAGAATTGTCAGTGTCATCATCATTTGCAAAAACATAAGCCACCTAATCAGAGAACAGAAACATGAGACTGAGCATGCCAGTAACAGTTTGATTAGCAAATGAGGTCTTGCTGACTGAGTTGATGAAGGGTGCAGAAGTGACCCATGGGACAAGATTTGTATTGGTTTTGGCAACGTGATCCCTGCTGTCAGAAAAAGAGAAGCATAGAGGTAGACATGACAAAGCAAAAATGGCACAAAAACAGTGACTCAGAGCAGCCTGGTGAGCCACCTCAACCTGTGCCCAGAGGCCTTGAGGCACCAGCAGCTCCTGGTGCTCCAGTGTGCATGCAGACCCCAGGCTGCTATTCCTCCTGGAGTGGCCATTCCTCCTACTCTGCACTTGGTGCTGGCTCCAGGACCACCCAGCTGTCACCCAGACACATAGCCAGGGTAGAGATCTGGGCTTTAGTTTAAGCCCTTGACAAAACCTCATAAGAAAGGTGCTTCTGAAAAACCCAGCCTTGTAAACCCTGTCTCTCTGGTGGTCTGACTGGGAAACCTAGGTTTCCAGCTCTGACACTTGTCAGAATTTTTGTTATTCAGCTGAGTGCACGTGGACCAGGAAGAGTTTATGAGGCACTTGTTACCGTATTTGAAGACGGGAATGTCCCCAGAGAGAGCGAGGCATATAAAAAAGGGGAAGCCGTCGTGCAATGGATCAGTCAGTTGCTCGTTGGTACTGGGGACGCAGCTGGGATGATGGCCACTTGCCTGCTCCTGTCCAGCCTTTGGGCCCTCGCCTCAGGTAATCTCCTGCTCTCTCTTAATCACTATGATGGTGCAGAAGGCTTCAGGGGACAAAGGCAGCATCTGTTCATTGATTTGTTGTCAGTGTGTTTGGAAGCTGAAGGCAAATGATTGGCTTTATTTACAAATTCTGCATCATAAACCAATGACCCACAGGACTAAAACTGGATTTCGACTCCTGATTTAGATGAGACTTGAGCCAGGGTATGGCACTGATTTTCTTTAGCCAGGACAGAATTATCTGTAAGGATGGACATGATACTTTTAGACAGACCATTAGAACTGTGGGCATGTTACGTTTGTTTTCATAGTTAACAAAGCCTGAATTTGTCCCCAGACAGCTTTCCATGGCCATGGCTTGTATTCTGCCCTATTCTGCTCTGCTGAGGGCTGAACTGCAAAATACCTGCTGGCTTCATGGCTGGCTACTGGCTGTTCTGCAAATCTCTGCCTGGAAAAGCCATGCCAGGAAGTTTAGATATGATTGAAGTGGACTCAAGGCACTGCAGACAGCCTCACTCCTCTTTAAAAACAGTACTTCAGGTTCCTGCAAACTGAATACATTTTCAGTGCTGTAACCATTTCTGATGCTATCTCCCTTCCCACACACCACAGAGAGATGTGCGCAGATAAAATTTAAGAGCTATCATCCTATGAACCAAAGAGCTTTGGGTCTGGGCTGTTAAACCTGGGAGCATTCAGGCACTTGACTGTCTCTTTGTATTTTTTTCCCTATGTGGCAGTGAATTGGAAAAGGAGTGATTATTTTTCCCTTCCCCATGGAGATGCCAAATCACAGCACAGGTACAGAGCTGCTGAAGTGTTTCAAAGGAAGTGGTGTGAGAGGTGCCACCTTCAGCCAAACTCCCATGGTTGGCTGAAAACAAACTCCTTTAGGTTGTGTTTTTGGTTTTCCTCTGGCAGCAGGGTCTGGGAAGCCCTCCAAGTGTGACGGCTGAGGGTGCAAAACATGTGGAGTGGTGGGTTGCAGTGGGACAGTGAAAGATGCTAAATGTGGACCCTGCTTCTTCACCAGGCTCTGTGCAGGTGATGCACAAAAAGGTGCAGTCGGTCCAGGCAGGTGGAAATATTACTTTCTCATGCCAGTCAGTCATGAACGAAGATGTAATACAAGTGACCTGGCAGAAGGAGATGGATGGGGCTGAAGACAACATAGCAACTTACAGTACAATGAATGGCCAAAAGATAGCAAAGGACTACGAAGGCCATGTGAGCTTTGCCCACAGCAGCCTGCAAGCCTCGGCCATCTCCCTTCACCGAGTCACCCTGCAAGATGAAGGATGCTACAAGTGCATCTTCAACACCTTTCCCTCGGGAGCTGTCACTGGCAGGATGTGCCTCAAGGTTTACGGTAAGACACTCTCTAATTGCAGAATGGGTATGACATCTTTCTGAGGATCAAGCCATTCCCTCTGGGGAAAAATCTTCCCTGGTCAGTGCTCATTGCTAAATCTCTGTGGGAAAGGTGGCTCTGTTTCCATGGCTCTGCCTTCCTTGTCATTTTTACTTCTGATGAGAAGGCACTGTTGAACACTTCTCCAATTTTCTTCCCTTTTAAGTCAACAGTAGCTGACGGGTGACCTACTGCTTCCCTAGAGTTCCTCTGGCCCAACACTACATTGGCAGCTGTCCCCACATGTCCCCCTGACTTTTTGACCTGTATTTTGTACAGGTCAGCATCAGTTTGTTTCAAGGAGAGAGTCAAAGCACATAGCCACAAGCATCCTCACATGCAAGGAGCCCTGTGCTGAGGGAAGGAACAGACAACCTTGGCTTATGAGGAATGATGACATAAGCAACAGGGGAAAGAGAAGGGGAAACATGTGGGAAAAACAGATCTGAAGCAGAAGTCCTTTTTTCCTCTCTTCTGATAAAGCTCCTAGAGCAGATCATTTGATGCGCAGTCACGCTGGGGGTAAATGCTGAATCATGCATTACAGGAATATATGGAAGAGCCTAGCTGAGAGATTTAGTTCTTGCTTACTATGAGAATCTAAACATGGAGTTAAATTGGCTTTGATTTATTCTGCCTGTTTTTTATCCAAGTGTGGGAAATGTTTCCCAAAATTACCAGTTTTGTGGCTATGATCCACCTCTTAGCAGAGCTCAAGGCATGAAAAAAGCAACAAAAGCTGGGGGTTTTTTTTGGTGGTTTTTTTTTTTTTTTTTGTGTGTGTGTGTGTGTGTGTTTTCTGATGTACTCTTGTCAACTGCTCTACCTGCTTCTCTCAAAGACACGTCAGTTGGGGGTTTCACTTCCCTGGCAGCTGGCAGCGTGCTGCCCCAGTGCTAGAGTGAGCACATAACCAACTAAGTGCTTGCAGGAAACATTCATTATAGCCTAACTGCAGTAATACATTTGAGATGCTCTTAATTTCCTTGATTTCCCAGCCAAGCCCTTCTGCAGACTGGGAGGGAGAAGATGGCAGAAATGTCTGGGGGTAAGGGGATTCCGGGCAAGGCAAGCAAGCTGACTAATGGCAGCATCTCAAGCAAATGATCAGCTTTCACGTGTCTGCCATCTGACAGGGACAGCCAGGGAGTTTACAGGCTGGTTATTACCCAGTTGCAACAACCTCCGTCAGAAGAGGCTCTTCCAGAATGGATACAGTGCTGCATAGTGTGCAGAAGTGAAACCTTGGTAAGAACCAGAAATGATGCTGGGAAAAATGAAATAGGTATGGGAGACAGAAATCCCAGATCTATTTAGCTGAAAACAACAATGTGAAGTAGCAGCAGTAGTCTTCTACCCCATAACAAATGATGTCTTGGCACAGAGTATTTTCAACCTGCTTTGCAGGTTTCTTTAGTGCCGTTCTTTTTTCACCTCCATTTTCCACTAGAAATGTTTTGCTGACTTTTGTTTCAAAAGACGATGAAAATGAAACCCAAAAAGGGGTAGAGTTTGAAGTATGGAGAGAGGGGCATGTATCACTTGAGTCTAGGCAAGGTTTTGCTGGATCAGAGACCTACAGACGCCTTCTGCCTGCAAGTAGATAGCCCCATCCACATGGAAGTCTCCAGCACCACGGAGAAAGCCATGACAGTGTTGACTTAGATCAGGCAGCTAAGCCTGTGTTGCTGACGAGCATCCACATGGCTGGAAAAGGCACATGAGACACACTAATTCCTAAAAATGTTCAGCCGTTAATTTGAGACCAAAGTTCAGCCTTGAAATATTGAAAGCACATCATGATCTAGCAGTTGCCCTTAAATAACAGAAGCCCAATTGCAGCCAAAGCTGGCACACATTCACTAGAAAGCTACCTTTTCCAATAGTTAGGAGCACCTTCACAGCTCAAGCCTGAGAATGTTTTACATTGCTGCTCTGAAGGACCTATGAAGTCAGGTATAACATGGCTTGTAAGTAGTTTTTCACATGAAATAAATATTTTGATGAAGTAGAAAACCAGCAGATACTCTAAACATGTGCATCAAACACCAACTCAGTGCACATGCTAACAAACAGCATGTGCAAGAGAAAGTGCTCACATATTTTGACTGTATATTTACTACAGGCATATAGTAAGGCAAAGAGCAACTGTCCAGTGTTTTTCTTGCCTACAAATAATTCCCTGGATTCCAGTGTGGGAAGGCAGAGAACTGTCTAGTGAGGAGAATGGATTTGGCATATATATGTATGTCTGCCAAATGTGATGCTGAGAATTTTTTCTCTTCTCCTCTGTGTGCCTTTATAAGCCAAGATTCACCTTAATCTTTTGTAATTGGTTAAGATTTGAGATTGCTAGACTGGAGCAGCGGCAGCAATCTGCCTTCTGTGCTTTTTAAAACAGGCTCTCCGGTAAAACTCAAGGGAAAAGTCTGTGGCAGTTTTCCTTTACTGCTTTTAGACCTGTTGTTTGTAACCTGATGTTTGAAGTTAGCACTGTGGGTGGATGTGCTATTTTTTTTATACATCCCGTGAGCGAAAGAAGAAGTTCAGAAACCATTTATTAATCAAAACATAAAGTGTTTACGACACTTGTCATTTCAAAGATGGGAGATTTTGAGAAGTTCCAACTGAAATCCCCCTAAGCCTTTTTTTTTTTTTTAATTTTATTTTTTTAGCTCAGGGCAACACAAATGGGGTTTCACCAGCTCTGTTTCTAGGGTCTGAGTTTCTACCTGTGGGTGATGCAAACATTGAGAAATATCTACTTTATTCTTCTAAGCAGCACAACCATAGTAAACAGTGAGGCAAAGCCATAGGAAAGCAAAAATGATGATGTAAAATGACTTAGTGGCTGTTATGGCTTGGAAGATCCAATTTCATGAGGTGCATATAGGATTTTACCAGGGGCATAGGTGCTGCTATGCAGTTGGCATGTGCTGTTTCCCCCCTTTAACAGAACCATTTTGTGTTCTTTATATATCATTCATAGAGACACCTTCTTCTACGGCCCAAAATGAAACATAAAACATTTTTCTTAGGAAGATTAAACAAAATTTTCAGTTTAAGCCCAGCACTACTAAAAAATAGTTATTTGTTTGCTGAAGTTTTGGCAAAAATCAATTTCAGCGTAAGTATTGTACTCATTGTTTGTTTTTTTTTGCTATGTAAAATAGTCATATATGCATATAGCACTATTAAATAATACTATTCCTCATCTATTAATAGACGCTTTTTAAATCAGAAGACATTCATATTAACTCAAACTTGAACAAAACCAGAAATGCCATTGCACTTAGATTATTTTAAAGGGCAGCATTATCAGAAGCAGACACTTGGAAGAAGAATATGATTTGGACCCCGGTACTACCAGTACATGCACTGATGTAGAGATCAGGCTGATGAACTGTTATCTGGAAACTTGTGTACTGGGAGATCTCACTCCCAAATGGAGTTATATGCCTTTATAAGTCTTGGCATGACAGTCTGAGTTAAATTGATTGGTTTGAGGAGGAGCTTGGACTAGGGGACTTTCAGAGGTCCTTTGCAACCCAGATTATTCTACGATTTTATGATTTGATTGATTTTCACAGGTACAAAGTGCATCCACTTGTGGTAGCAGTGAATAGCAGATATTGAGTTTTCATGAAAATCCAGCCATTGGTTTAATTTTTAACACAAAAATTTCAGTTTGGCCGTTCTGGAAACAATGCAAGGTTTGGGTACTCTGACAATCATCCTGTTTCCTGCTAATGAGTTTGCAGTGTTAAACTCCATATTTCCCTCCAGGACCAAACACCTTGGTTTTCCGACCTCGTACAATGGAGAAGAGCTCATCATCTCTGTGTTTTCTCTTGCTTTCTTGAAAACAGATCATCTTGTCCAGGGACGTGTCCTCAGGTGTTCAGATCTTCCCTGGAGTTCTATCCAGGTTGAAGAAAGCTTCTTGCACTTCTCCCATTTCTTTATTTCCTGAAAATACTGCAAATATAAATAGGAATTATCAAGCAGGTTTCACATGACTATGTGTGAGTGGTGAGAGGTTCACTGCAACTGCTAAGACTAAATAAGGCTGCAGCTACAAATCTTGTAGCATGTGGAGGAATTTGGAAAACTGATCTTTAACAAAACTTTTGGAGGTTACCATGACACCCCAAAATTTGACATTAGGGGAAAGAAAGAATGTATAAACACAAAGCCTTCGCAGCTGAAATCCTGTGGTGTCACTTTATACACCAGTTACTGTCTTGCATAAATAGATGCATTTAGTCCCTAAGTGCTCAAGTTTGCATGTCTTAAAAAGCAATAAAACAAATCTTGCAGATGAGCTTAAGGGATAAGAGCAAGTGCTTTGAGTCACTGAAGCAGTTCAAGTCTTTTGAAGAGGGGAGGACATGGTTTCACAGTTTCACTATCTGTTGTTTTCACTTGTCCCTCATTACCATTAATCAGTTGAGATGCTGTAGGGCTGCTTTTAGTAGTGAATTTGAAAGTTGTGCATTTCTACCCTCTTGTCCTCAGATTTTGCCATGCTCTCTATTTTTGTAAAGAACTGTGTGCAGTTTCAGGCACCATGATATAAAAAATAACATAAAACTATTAGAGAGGATCATCAGGAGAGCTGTAAAGATGGTGAAGGATCTAGAGGGCACTGTATGTGAGGACTGGCTGAGGTCCCTGGGTTTGTTCGGCACAGAGCAGAGGAGCTGAAGGGAGGCCTGATGGCTGCTGCAGCTCCTCGCAGGGAGCGGAGGGGCAGCGCTGAGCTCTGCTCTGCGTGACAGCGACAGGGCTTGAGGGAACGGCATGGAGCTGTAAGTCCCTTCCAGCTTGGGGTATTCTGTGATTCTAAGATAACAGTAAATAACAAGTGTTCTTAGCTCAAATGTAAGCAGAAAGTAACAGATTTTTCTACTTTGTGTTTTACAGCCATCTCAGACCCTAAAGTGGAAGCCAAACTTATACCCAGTCCTGACAAAGATGAAGTCTCTGAGGTAGTGGTGGGGATGAGCTGCTCAGCAACAGGGAAGCCAGCTCCGAAAATCACCTGGCAACTTCCCAGCACTCTGCTGCAGAAACCAAAGGAGTACCACATCAAGCTCAGCAACCAGACCATCACTGTCATCAGCAACTTCACCCATTCCCACTCCAAAATCCTCAAGGAGTATCCTGTTGCCTGTGTGGTCCAGCACCCATCTCTAAATGTGACCCTGTCCCTGCCCATGGACAATCTGACACAAGGTCAGTATGCAACCTGACTCCTTCCCTGGAAAAGAAGACATGGAAACATCTCCTGGGCTATTATCAGCCTCTAAGGGCTGGAGGGCAGGTGGGAAAGGCACCATGAAGAGCAGCTGGGATGGGGAGGGACAGGAGAAGGTGCTAGGGAACAGCCAGACATCCTGGGCAATGATGTGGACATCTGCCATCCATTTGGGATGCTGTGGTTTGTCTCTGGGTCACCAGACCCCAAACGCAGGTCTGTTAGTTGTACTGCTTGTCTGTATGCTTGCATGTGCCTCTTTTCCTTTTCTGACCCAGGGGATCAGCCAAGGGATGTCCAAAATGGGTTTGGGTGTTCTTTCTTCATGCACAAGCCTGCTTGAACACCTCCTACTTTTCCCACAGGTCAGGACAGTATCAATGCACCAACCGTGGCCATTGCTGTGGGGGTGCTGGTCCCTCTGATGTTCCTTCTCCTCTTCATGTTGCTCCTTTGCTACTGCCTGAGACACCTTCGTGATCCAGAGAGAAACACAGCCTGGCCTTGCTGGGTAGGTCTGTGTTCCCTCGCCGAGGAAGAGCAAAATTCAGAAGGGAACCATACCCTTATACCACTCTTCTGCTTGGCTAGGCCATGCTTTCAAGGATGTGTCTTGAACAGGAGGGGGGCTCTTGAAGAGGAGCATGCCGCAGTGCCTTGCTCAGGACGGGAAATGCAGCCACATGTGAGCCTACTGGGTTCTGTGAAGGATGCAAATTTAACACAGGATCAGACCCAGTTGGATGCTGCCACATGACTAAGTCCTGTTTTGTTCTGAAGGCACCTCCTCCTCTCTGCAGAATATGCCTGAGGCATGCACCTTTGACTTTAGTTAATGTTGAGGAGAAAAAATAAGGCAGCGGCAGGCAGGAATTACAATGCATTTCTTCCACTGATGCTATTTTTCTAAATCCAAGCTGAGGTCTACCAAGGGGGTTGCGAGGGGAAAGGCTCTGTCTACCGTGCTTGAGCACCGACAGACACAAAGCCCCATTTGGTAATGCAGGCAGCCTGAGTCTGAACCTCTGCACTTAAAGCATACATATATTTTTCAAAAAGTGAAATAAAACATCTCTTCTGCTAGGTCCTTGCTGTATGTGCCAAGGAGAGAGCATGTGGACAGTACATGCTTACTGGCAAGCAGGCTACCGCTGCAGTGCCCAACACATGAGCTCCTGCATGCCCTACATGTGGACATCTTGGACTGTCATGCAGACCTGCTGTGATATCACACCAAAGGAAATAGAGGGGGAAAAAAAGAACATTCCATAATACATATTTATTTTCTTAAACAACTTCATTCCGTTTTGTAGAAGAAAAGCTGTGAATTATTTATTTAAGACTCTAAGACTGTTGGCTGCGTGGGTCTGTAATGCAACTTGTGGTTGGCATTTTCTATGCTGTATTTATTCTTTTCCCATATTTCAACATCCCAGGTCCAAGCGGAGTGAGGGTTTTCTGAGGCAGTGTGGTATTTTGTGGAACAGTGATTTAGGAGGTGCTGCTCCGGGTAGAGGGAAGCAGCAAGTGTGTGGAACTGCTGACATTACTGAGAGCTGCCAGGAACCTTCTCCCCAGCAGGCATGGGAGATGGAGCATGTCTGCAGCTGGATCAGACTTGTAACCCTGGCGGCAGGCTCCAAGCCATCAGATACCAGGAAGTTACCACCCTTTCCTAGAAAGTTATTTAAAGGCAAAGAGAAGTTTACTTCTCCTTCAATGGTTTCCACGGCCATTTCCTTAGCCTTACGTAGTTGCCTCCTGTTTCCACATAATCACACCTGCCTGGGGGGAAGAGGTGGGGGTATTTAAGGAGTGTTCGGAAGGTATTAGGCAGAGCAGTCCTCCCTTTACTCCTGTCCTCTTGGCTCCATGCAGCAAGTGTATGCTATCTGGTTTTCCCTTGCACATCTACTTCATGCGTACTTCCCGGATGAAGCAGGTTGTGTGGAGGCCGAAAAGCTGAGTCAAGTGAAATGAAAGAGAGTGGGTGAGCTGAGAATGAACAAACCCACTTCTTGTCATAAAAAGCTTTTATAGAATCCCTAATGCTTAGTAATAGCTGATCTGATGATTGCAAGGAAAGGGGAACCAGCTACAGACCAGCAGCTCTTGCAATTGGGAATTTTTCTCTTGAACCCCGTAACTGTCAAAGGAGGAAACCTGATTTTTTTCAAACTTCCCCACAGCTGCAATTTAAGTTTCCTCCACACCTGTATGGGAAGGGGCAAGGGAGTGAAGCAGACCTTCCCCAGGAGTATTTTGAATCCAATGGGTTGCAGGCAAAGGAGGACTGCTCCAGGGTTCTTGGCTGTGTCGTGTCAGATCTCTCTGCTCAATAAGGTCCACACTTGGCCTTCAGGTGTTGGGTTGTTTTCTTCTAAGAATTGTTAAGATTGTTTTGAAGAGAGGATACTACAAACGTTTGGACTACTGGGCTTTTCTTTTTTTTTTTTCTTTTTAATAAAATAAAGGGAAAAAAAGAGAAAGGTCTGTTGCAGAAATGGACGTGGGAATGAAAAAAAATTTTCAGAAGGATGACGAAAAGGCACAAAGCTAACAAGAAACCCTTATTAAGCCTATGGAGATTGTAGAAATATGTTTTAGTTTTTTACAAGTTGATCTAGAATGGGAAAAAACAGAGTTTGAAGTAAAGAAAAGGCCTGCTTATGTGTGTTTCTGACTTTCTGCTCTTTAGCTGAATGTTGAATTGTGTAGGGCTTGTATTTATGAATTGTATGTTTCTGCTTACTGGTGCAACAGAACTAGAGGCTGAATGAAAAGGGAGGACATGGAAGCATGATACTGTGCAAAAAAAAGCATGTTATTCATCTATTTGTTTTTTACAGCATTGGGATGAGAACAGCAAAATGATGTCCAAAGGTAGAACATTTAAAACCAGTACACATATTTGCCTTCATAATATACAAATCTATCAGCTGAAACACAGCACCATAAAATACTGTATACTACTGCTGTTGTGTTTGGCTTCATGTAGCAAAGAGCTAAATGCAGGCATCCGGGCTATGTACAATGAACCAGCTGTCAGATGTGGAAAGGAGTATAAAATAGATAGAAACCACCTTTGTGAGAACAAACAAGCATGTGACTGGGGGGATGAGGGTTTTACTGTGGGTGAATAATATCCTAACTGTTGTTCTGAGCTTTCTTTATGATTACCTTGTGCTTATGTCGTTTGTCAAGTTATCTCTGTGAACAATTTGGCAGTAAAACTTCATTACTTCTGGCGGGTTTATTCATATCTTTAGTATTTCTTTTAATAAACAGCATGTAGAGTATGAAATGCTGCAAATTTCCATTGGTTTAGAGAAACAAAAATAAAGCTCGTCAGAACTTCAAGCAGAATGAACTGCTCTATATTTCTGCTCCATGCAAGCAATGTGAAGCATATTAGCTTCGAAAGTAAGTGAAAACATAGAGTACAGGAATGTCCCAGGTTAGTTTTACCACCACCAAAATTCCCCAAAGCCTAGGTAAAAGTATGGTTACAGCCTGCATCCATACATTGACCAAAATTCCCCCTTACTGCTGGGCCTCACGATGGATTTGGTTACAGAGGAGATGACTGAGCTGGGGGAAATGAAGATAAGGACAATTCTAACATAGCTTTGCTGACAGCATAGGCTGTAACTTAGCCTGAAGCACATACTCCCTGTAGAACTTTGTCTTGTATTATGTTTCCCACAGAGATTTGGGGTTTTTTTGTGTGTGTTACTATTTTGTTTTGTTTTCCTCTGCTTTTTGTGAATTGGACCATGTGAATAGGGTTGACTTGTTCTCTGGGACTTTGATTTTTAGGGAAGGGTGCAATAGGATTTTTTATTCACCTGGAAAATATAGTCAAGTCAAACTAGAGAAAATCCTATGGCATATTGGCGTACTGCTAGTTCATTGGAATATAAAAATCATAGTATCATTAAGGTTGGAAAAGACCACTAAGATCATCTAGTGCAACTGTTGACCAATCACCACTGTATGCCCACTAACCATGTCCCTCGGTGCCGCATCTACACGGTTCTTGAACACCTCCAGGGACTCCCTACCCCCTTGGGCAGCCTATGCCAATGCCTCACCATATCAGGGGTGGGGAGAAAGGGAAAACAGTTGTTGTTCAACTTTCAAACTACAAGAGCCCTGACAAGTGTTTGGTGACGTAGTGCAAAGCTTGATGAATGAGCACAATGTGTTCCACTATCACCATAGTATAATGTACACTTATGTCTAGATACAGTCCTTGAATAAGATATGAAGCTATGCTTTTCAAACTTATTGTATCTGTGTATAAAAAAGAATTCTAAGGTTGTGCAGCTTGCCCATGTTTATGCTTTGGCATGGTGGGTTGCTGCAGGAATCTGCCTGCACTGGTGCTTTTTCTCTCTGGGTGCTGGTTCCTGACTCCACCAGAGCAGTAACACATAAGAACTGAGGATGTGACTTTGAAATGTAGCTGAAATGCTGCCCTCACACATTTGGCAAGTCATGGCTGAAGCAGGAAGAATATTTTTCTATCAAAACCACTACTGGCAGAGACATGGAACTAAATCCATGCAGTGAAAGGGAACTTTGTTTTGGCGACTGAAGTCTGAAAGCACCATTCATCATTTCATTATTTTGTGACCCTGAGGAATTATTCATCAACTAAATATCGCATCAGGGAATTTTCTTATGAATTCATACTTGGAAAAAAATATAGCCTATTGTTGTTCACTCCTTTTTCAGCACTGGGCAGCAGTAAACCCGCTGAAATGAGAGAATTGCCTTAAATGAGTGCATTTTCTTTTTCATAAAGAGGCTATCAAACCAGACAGAAGAATGTCAGACATACTTTTTTGTTTTCACTCTTAGGATACCAGAAATCATTCGAACTTTGGAAGCCATACAAAAGACTTTCTCATATCTTCACAGCTTTCATCTTTGCTTACATAAAGCTGTGTGTGAAAGAGGCACTCAACTCTTATCCAAGCAGACAGACTTTGCTGTGGTCTGTTCAGCTTTGGGTAAAAGATCCACATGAAATTTTTGGGAAGCCTGAGGGAATCCTTAGTCTAAGACCCCTGTACAGCACAAACATCATTATGACTTCCCGAACTGCAATTTTTAGGATGAATCATCCTAAAGAAAGGGGAAGAAAAAGTGGCTTGTCTAGTAAAAGTGTACCAGAGATCACATACAAAAGATTAAGATGCAAGGAGAAACTAGTGGGGGAGAAAAAAAAAAAAAAAACAACAAAAACCAAACACTTTCAGACTAAAAGTTTAAAAATTTCTTTTAATTTGAATATTTTATTTGATATTATCCTTCAAACAGATTATGACAGGATGCTGAAAAGTCTGTAAATACCCAGTGTTATATTTTAAGCTTAAAGAAATTAACATTTGCCTCAGAGGTGTCAAGGAACTATCTACAGAAATAAAGCTACAGTTCTACAGAAATACAGCTATTTTCATAAATGAGTTTTTTCACCTTTCCATTGGACAAGGGAAAATTAAGACATCTGTTTGCCATAGGTTTATTTCTAAATATCAGAACCCATACATAAATATGAGAAAAGGGAAAATCCAATAATGTTTTAAGATCTTTGCATATCAAATTCAGAACTATTTTGTTTTGAGGATATAAACATGGGTTGTGTCCTTTCTGGAAAGAATTTGTCAACAGAAGCAATGTAGCCATTCTCAACTCAGTGGTTCAGTATTTGTCCATGAATCTTCAGCAGTTCTTCCTAAGAAACAGATATCTTTACTGTAAAGATTTCTGACCATGTCAAGACCATTGGAAAGAGATTCTCAAGTCCTAACTTGGGCTGCAGGGGTAAGCCAAGACCAGACCATAACAACAGAAAGTGCTGAGCTCTCTGCAGGCTCCTCTAGGGTGGAAGTCTTCTGAATAACATGCAGAATGAAGGGCACTGAGCCTGGATCGTACATAACAATGTCCCAGCCTGAAGGAAGGATAAAGCCATGTCTCTGGTGGGATCTGGCCCAGCAAAAGGCATGTGTGGTGACTGTGTAGAAATAACTCTTCAGTCTTAGGTTCATGACTGTATCACCCAACTGCGGATCTGACAGAGATGGATTTGGGGGCCACCATAGGGGGAAAAAATGAAACAAGGATTCACCGGGAAACAACATCAGTCACTACTAGTGACTGTTCTCCTGAAAGGCAAGTGAGAAGGTCTGGGGATCCTCTAACTTTTTGCTTGTTTTCCCAAGTATGTTCATGGCTGATTCCTCTCCCTGATGATACCCCTACTCATCTGACCTTTGAAGATGCTGCCTTCTTGTCTCCAGCACCTTTTCTTTGCTTTCCTTCTCCCTACCAGGAGCTGGCCAAGCTGGGAAGAACTCTAACATTGTGTTCCTGTGTCAACACCCCAGGACACAAGGAGCCAACCCCCCCCAAACCATGCCCCAATCCTGTGCCAGGTGTTAGCAATCTATCTAAAGGACAACTGTGGCAACCAGGGAACTTATGAAGTGGTGATGGCCCTAAGGTGATGGTCCCTGGCCACTTCTCCAGGCTGGGACCAGAAGCATAGCACCTCTGGGCAGAAATGCAAACCAACAGGGATGGGGAGAATATGTTGTTTTAAAAAAAAAACCTGCTGATCACCTGCCTTTCCCTTTGCTAGTCATTCTTCTTTGTGGCATAAGTGGAAAGAGAAAGACTAAAGCCTGAAAATGAGACTGACCCCCAGGAAGTGTTCCTTTGAATTTAATTTTAAGGCAGTTCTGCAGACTTTCTTCCTCTTGCCACAAAGAAGTATTACTTTTTATTTTTTTTTTTTTTTTTTTTTTTTGTTTTTTTTTTTTTTTTTTTTTTTTTTTTTTCTCTTTTTTTCCTTTTTTTTTTTTTTTTTTTTTTTTTTTTTTTTGTAATTTTTAAAGAAGAATTAATTAAGGTCAGACTCTGCATTTCTTAACAATCGAAACATACTGCTATATCTAAAAGTTGAAAGCTGCAAGGTTTGCCTTGAAGTAGCCCTCCATGGCAGTTGTTTTAAAGCAGAGAGCTGCATTACCCAGAGCCTTTTCTAAATGCTTAGGAAGGGAAAGCTAACCTCTTTCTTTGTATGCACATAGTTCAGGAACCATGTAAAATAAAAGTAAGAGGGGAGGGGATCTCAAAAACAATGTCAGGGAAAAAAACAACAGTGATGTTCAGGAATGAAATTGTTGCTAAAATAAAATTTCCACTTTGCTTCCTGGAAAATGAGATTGAAGGGGAGAAATGGGGGCAGAATTGAAGATAATTGTGCCAAGTGCCCCTCTCAAATAGGAAATAAAATGAAGATTTACACACACACACCCCCAGACCCCGCATATGTCACCACCTACTACTGCCAACAGGTTCTGGGAGCCTCACCATGAAAGCATGATCTAAGAAAAGCCTCATGCAAGTGTTCAGCTGTATGTGGGACATGATACTGACCCTCCTGATGAAGGAAAGCACTGAATTCATAAATAGCAGAGATGAACACAGACAGAAATTATATAGTAACTACTTTGCATAAAGATACTCTTGTGAGAGAGGCGTAAAGACAAATCCAGAACAAATTCATCAAGCGCAGAGGGCATTCTTCTGCAATTACAACCAGAAACTAGCATGGTGCTTGGTCTCACTGCTGGCTTACTGTGTGGCTAAGAGCTGTGAGGCTGGACAGTGAAATCCTTGCACGCTCGTCCCCAAGCACAACACCCTATCACACTGCTGGCTTTAGGTTTCTGGAATTGCATTGGATACAGACACGCTTGGGGAGGGGAATCTACAGCCAAACCTGCCCTCTGCAGGCTTCTTTCATAATGCAGCTTGTGTTCTTGGATTTGGTTTGCAGGTTGGAGTGAAGCAGTGGAGTTTCTGGATGTCTCTATGCTGTCTCCGTGATGGAGGAGCATCCATCTCCTTTTCTTGATGGTGAGTCCTTGCTGCTGGATGAGTGGCACTAGGTTGATTTGGGGTTTGACACTAGGTTTGATTTGGGGGATGAGCTGCTGGAGGGGAGCTCTGCGGAAAGGGACCTGGGTGTCCTGGTGGATGACAGGTTGGCCATGAGCCAGCAGTGTGCCCTTGTGGCCAAAAAGGCCAATGGCTTACTGGGGTGCATTAAAAAGAGCGTGGCCAGCAGGTCAAAGGAGGTGATCCTCCCCCTCTACTCTGCCCTGGTAAGACCTCATCTGGAGTACTGCGTCCAGTTCTGGGCTCCCCAGTACAAAAAAGACAGGGATCTCTTGGAAAGAGTCCAGCGGAGGGCCACGAAGATGGTGAAGGGCCTGGAGCATCTCCCCTATGAAGAAAGGCTGAGTGAACTGGGTCTGTTCAGCCTTGAGAAAAGGAGACTGAGAGGGGACCTGATCCAGGTCTATAAATATCTAAGGTGTGGGGGGCAGAATGGCGAGGCCGGACTCTTTTCAGTGGTGAGTGGAGACAGGACAAGGGGAAACGGCTGGAAACTGCAGTATAGGAAGTTCCGCACAAACATGCGCAAGAACTTCTTTACAGTGAGGGTGACAGAGCACTGGAACAGGCTGCCCAGGGAGGTGGTGGAGTCTCCTTCTCTGGAGATGTTCAAGACCTGCCTGGATGCCTACCTGTGCGACCTACTGTAGGGAACTTGCTTTGGCAGGGGGGTCGGACTCGATGATCTCTGGAGGTCCCTTCCAACCCCTACAATTCTGTGATTCTGTGATTCTGTGATTCTGTGATTCTGTGATTTCTTTGGCGACCATGGGGTTGGCTCCTAGCATGGTGCTCAGTGAGCTGCTGGGCAGTGACCCACGTGTAGTGCCTCTCAAAACTTCTTCCCAGAGCAGAGAAAAACTGGGAGCTGCTGGTACCCTCTTTTCTTCTCCCTCAGGCCACCAGCCACCTGCATTTACTCAGTAGAGTTACACCTGGCAAGGCACAAGCCCTTATGATGGCACCCTGAACTTACTAGGGTGGCTCTGACAAGCCTGCAAGGAAACCCAAGCATTCCTGCTCTATTTTTAGGGAGTTTTAGTTATTTCCAAGCCTGAGAGCCCTTGCAGTCTGGGGAGTAAATCTGTGTAGAGTGACTGTGAGCAGCAGGAATGGCATTAATTAATGATTGACCAGGTAGGAGGAAGTGAAAGAAAGTCTGATTGGTCTCCTGGAAGACTTTTGAAAAAGGCGCCCAAGCTGAGGGCCAGCCTCCAAAGTGGCAAGAAGTGGCAAGTTCGGGATACACACTCAGCCATACAATGTTTCTGCTGCTCTGCCTACTGCTGCTCTGCCAGAGCTGCTGGCTGGAGGCTGCCAGGGGTGAGTAGGAATGCCCTTTCCCCGTAGAGGCTTTCTGGAGCATGAGCAGCCTTCCTAGCTCAGGGGCTAAGCTGAACTCCTTAGCTCCACGGCCTTGCATTTCCAATTCATGTCTCTGAGCAGTGCATGTTTCTTTTAGGACAGGCTGGGGCAGGGAGGGTAGTCTCCTGGCTATGGGTCACTCCCTGCCCTTTCATAGATGCCAACATGGGGGGCACAGGGATGTTCTCTGGAACAAAAGCTGTTTTACTGGGGCTTTACAGGACACCCCAGAGCTGTTTGGGGCAAAGAGGGATTATTTTGGCAGCAGTGGGATATGAGCAGAGAGGTGACTGAGGCAGGAGGGATAGCACCTCTGTCTCATGCCCAGCTTCAGGATGGGTGGTGGCCCTAGAGGGGCCACATATAGGGACCACACACAGGGAGTGAATAGATGATTCAGGTCTCAACTTCTTGTTTTTTTTTTTCTAAGACACCTTGCCCAAAATGCATGAATGAGGAAACCCAAATGCATAGAATTATAGAATATCCTGAGTTGAAAGGGACACATAAGGATCCTTGAGTCTAACATTTGGCTCCACACAGGACCACCCCAAGTCCAAATCCTTTTTCTGAGAGCAGTGTCCAAATGCTTCATGAACTCCAGCAGCTTGAGGCTGTGCCCACTGCCCTGGGCAGCCCGTTCAATGTCCACCGCCCTCTGGTGCAGACCCTGTCCCTAACTCCCAGCTGTCCTCCCCTGACGCAGCTCCATGCCGTTCCCTCAGGCCCTGCCGTTGTCACACAGAGCAGAGCTCAGGGCTGCCCCTCTGCTCCCCTCGTGAGGGGCTGCAGGCTGCCATGAGGCCTCCCCACAGCCTTCTGGGCTGAACCAACCAGGGGCCCTCACCCACTCCTCCTATGTCTTGCCCTCCTGACTCTTCACCATCTTTTTAGTCCTCCTTTGGACATTGCTTATTAGTTTTAAGTCCTTCCTACACTGTGGCACCCATAGTTGCATGCAATGCTCTAGGTGAGGCCACACATCCTGATGCACTCCAGGGTACAGTTGGTATTCCTGGCTGCCAGAGTATACTGTTCACTCATGTTAATTTGCTGCTGAACCCCAGGTTCAGGGCTATGTACGGCAGGGCTCATGCTGAAGTCCTTCATTGGTGCATCTTCCTGTCAGTTGATCCCATATCTTTTTCTCCTCACCAAAGCACTGCTTCATGGCTAAGAAATGCACGCCATAGACTAATCAAGTGATGGCCACTTGCAAACAAAGGTTTCCAAGAATCTCCGAGGAGCCTTTGTGGACTCTCATTGGAGTTTCAGCACTCTGCAAGACAGGATGCTTCAAGGGACTACAACTTTTCCCAGGTAAATTGTGTTTTTTCTCTCCCTCTGATTTTGTGTTCTGGTTTGTTTCTAGGTTTGGAGGAAGCAGTGAAGTGTGAAAACATCACTGAAGCAAGCCTCGGTGAAGAGGCAAATTTCTCTTGCAACTTCTTACTCCCAATGGATGTCTTACAAGTCACTTGGCAGAAGATAAATGGATCTTCCTTCCAGAACATAGCCACTTACAGCCAAGCCTATGGGCTGCGACTGATAGGATCGTTTCAGAGGAAGGCACGTTTCATTAGAGCAGCCCTGAACACCTCAGCCATCACTCTGCAAAATCTCACATTTGAGGATGTGTCCTGTTACAGATGCATCTTCAATGCGTTTCCTCGTGGCTCTTTCAGCAGCGAAGATATATGCCTCAACATCCAGAGTAAGTTTTCCACTAGCAGCTTCTCACTTTCTGGCATGCAGCACAGGTGTGGTGGAGTCAGAGGGCAAGTAAATTGTTATCCCCTCCATCCAAAGCAATTTGCTACACAGCAGCATCTGCTCAGTGGATATTCTCCAGAATCACCACACCTGTCTATAGAGCTAGTGAAGGTAAAGAAGCCAGGGGATGCATTTGGATAAGAACACTAGTACAGAAAGCTGACCTGTCCAGCTTTGACCTCTAACTCCCCTGAGTGTAATAAATGTCTTCTCTCATTAATTTCTGAGCTAACAGGGGAATTGGAATACCATTTGGCTACCAAAGTTTTCCTCACTGCTGTCAGCTCAGCAACAGGAAGGTCTCCTCCAGCATCACCCGGTTGGTTGATGCAGGCCTGGACAAGTCCCTCAAGATACACCACATCCAAAACCCAAATGGGACACTGACAGCAGCAAACAGATGCACCTTCTATGTTAGGTGAATCTACACCTTGGCTTGTTTCCTTGACTACCCACAGAGAAGGAAAATGAAGTCATTTCAGCTCACAATAAAAAGTCAAGGCTGAGTTTGCATGGAGAAGCACAGCTTGAAGCAGGGAGTGCTTTAGAAATCAGTAGTGACATTGCTAGCCAGCTCCAGGGAAACAAAAATATAACCATATTGTGTGCAAGTGCCCACTGTTTGGCTGCTGTCTGGATAAGCACTGGCATGTGCAGTTGTAGTAGTGCAACTTGTCTCAAAGAGTCTGATCTTATTAGAGATCTTTTCTGAGAGTGCAGACCTTATGTGGGATGAAGATTTCTTAATTTGAAAACATATAGAAGACTCCTTCCTATAGTACTTCTGTGGCTGCATGATGTGTGCGTATGTAGGTGTGTATTATTTACATAGGAATCACAGAATTGCAGAGGTTGGAAGAGACCTCCAGAGATCATCGAGTCCAACCCCCCTGCCAAAGCAGGCTTCTCACATCAGGTTGCACAGGTGAACATACTTACATGCATCTCTGAATGATTCTGTTTATACATAATCACTTATTTAGGGATGATATTCTCCAGCATTATCCCCATCTGGAGTGTACTAGCAGAGTAGGCCCTCACTGTTGAATAGTGGGGAGCATCTTTCACAAAGAGGGTCTTATAGGAGGACACCCCTCAGGAATGGTGAAAATGAAATCTTCTCTAATTATAAAACTTCTTTTTACAGAACGTGGAAACACAGACAAACCAGAAGTCAAAATGTTGGATTTGATTTCCCCTGATACAAGAGGTATTTCTCATATTTATTTAAAAATAAAATGATTAATGTTTCAGTTTAGTCACAACCTCTGAAGAGGACAGAAGGAACATACTGACACTCCTCCATGCTTTGTGTCTCTTTATAGGTATTCAGAAGAGAATAGGCCTTGTGGTGTTCTGCATAGTTGCTGTCTTAGCAGTCTTGATACTTCTCATCATGGGGCTAATGATGAGAAAAAGGAGAAAGTAAGAGTGATTTTCATTTTCTTGTGAAGGACATGGCTTACCTGTGTTCACATTGCAATTTGCCTTTCTCTTTCCTGTTGGTGTTTTTATATGCTTGCACTGGAAACTCACCCATGTGGAAACACTAGTTTTAAAGCAATAAGATTCAATCTAAATGCTAGATTTATGAGTACTATGTGATGAGTTGGTGTTTTTTTTTTTTTTTCAGACTGCAGAAACAGAGAGCACACAGCACACCTGAAAAGGAGAAAGGCTTACAGCAGGATCTAAGTGAGCAATTTGAAAGCCTGAACATGCTGAAGGACCAAGACAGTGCTTGTCAAAATAAGGTAATGCCAATGCCCAGCACTTTCAGCAATTCTTCAAATCTTTCAGAAGTCTTGGACAATTATTGAGAGGAATATGACAAAAAATCTTATTCAAGATAGAATCATAGAATGGCTTGGGTTGAAAGTGTTCTTAAGGACCATCCAGTTCCACCACCCTGTCATGGGCAGGGTCACTACCCACTAGACCAAGTTGCCAAGCATCTCATCCAACCCAGCCTTGAATGATTCCAGGGATGGGACATCACTTCTCTGGGCAACCTGTTCCAGTGTCTCTCCACCTTCACAATGAAAAATTTACCCCTAACATCTCATCTAAATCTCTCTTTTAGTTTAAAACCATTCCTTCTTTTCCTATCAATATCTATACATGTAAAAAGTTTACTTCCCTCCTTTTATAATATTCATTTAATTTGGAAGGCCTCAATGAGGTATTGCTGGAGCCTTCTCTTCTCCAGACTGAACAAGCCCAGCTCCCTCAGCCTGTCCTCACAGGAGAGGTGCTGGAGCCCTCTGTTAATCTTCATGGCCCTCATCTGGATCCTTTCTAAAAGCTCAATTCTTACCTGTGTTGGGGGCCTCAAACATGGATACTGGGGCTTCACAAGGACTGAGTAGAGGGGGATAAGCACCTTCTTCTTTCTGCTGAATACCCTTCTTCTGCAGCCCTGAATATTGTTGGACTTCAGGGATACAAGCACACACTGCTGTCTCATGTTAAGTCTTTAATTTACCAGGACTCCTAAGTCCTTCTCAGCAAGGCTACTTTCAAGGAGTTCTCCCACTCTGTATACATATCTGGGATTGTCCTGACCCATAATGTAACACCTTGCATTTTGTGGAATCTCATTAGGTTTACATAGGCCCAGCTTTTGAGTTTGTCCCTTTGGATGGCATCCTTCCTCTTTACATATTAACTACACCACACAGCTTGGTGTCATCTGCAAATGTGCTGAGGGTGTGCTCAATCCCATCATCTATGTTATTGATAAAGATGTTAAAGAGCAGCAGTCGCAAGACAGGCCCTTGGGAGAAAGCACCCATCACCGGCCTCCACCTGGACATAGAGTGATTAACCGCAACTCTCTGGCTAGGATCACCCAACCAAGTCTTTACTTGCCTAATAATCCACCCTTCAAATTCTTATCTCTCCAATTTAGAGATAAGGATGTGTTGCAGAACCATGTCAAAGGCCTTGCACAAGTCCAGGCAGATGAAATCCTTTGTCTATTGATGCTGTCATTCCAACATAGAAGGCCACCTGATTGGTCAGGCATGATCTGCCCTTGGTGAAGCTGTGATGTCTCAGATCACCTCCATGTCTCACACGCACCTTAACATCTTTTCTCGGAGGATCTGCTTCATGATCTTCCCAGTCACAGACATGAAGCTCACCAACCTGTAGTTGCTGGGCCTTCCTTTCCACCTTTCTTGAATATGGGAGTGATGTTTCTCTTTTTCCAGTCACCAGGAACTTCACCTGACAGCTATGACTTTTCAAACATGATGAAGAGTGGCTTGGCAACAACATCAGTCATCTCCCTTAGGACCCTGGGATGCATGTCCTCTAGCCTCATAAACCTGTACACGTTCAGTTTCATGAGGTGGCCTTGGACTTGTTCTGCTGGGGTCCACTTGTGTGGCACTTTTTGTAGGGCTGTCATGCTAGCTATTTGAGTGTGAAAGCCAGGATAAGCCCTCACTGTCAAATCTCCACTGCTCCAGATAGCTGCAGGGTAGGTGACAGCATACGTGCCCCAGCTATGCTCTAGCAGTGCTGGGGAGTGCCTGGAGCTTGAAGGAGGAACGTTGGCCTGCAGTTAAGAGGAAAGGCAGATGAGGTACTGGAAATGCCCAGCTGTGTGGATGGGATGTCCCTTCTGGACAAAGGTGATGCAGCACTGCAGAGCTCAGGCTCTGTGACTGGCAGTCTTAGATTCTTTCCCAGAAAGGTTTGTCCAGCCTTGCTGCTCACACAGGCATCAGGGTCTACTGGAGGGCTGGTGGCATCCACAGACACAACTGGTGAGCGACTGTGGTTGCTCTTTGGCCCCATTAGTCACTTCTTTTTGATTTCCTATGGGTTTCCTCTTCTTTCAAGCTCTTGCTAGTCCTGTTGTCACAGACTGATTATGATAGAGCTCTGGTTTTAGCAATAATTTAGGTTTTAAGAATACTTTCATGACAAATCACAGGGTTAGATAGCATTACTTAATCATAAGCCAATTTAACAATGATTCAATGGAGCTTACTACAGTCAAATACAGTGACTTAAAGGTTTGAGAATGATAAGGTTCATCTGAAATTTAGAGGCAGAGTATTCTGAGGGGAGGTTTCTAAACTCATTTGGGTGAATTACTTAGCATCCCTTTCATCATCTCTCAGTAAATAACGAGATCTGTTCCAAAAGGAATTCCACTTTTTCAGTGTTGAATCTCAAAAATAATCTATGCTGAGAGGTGTCCCAACTCTAGGGGAGATCAAAGATCTCAGCAAACTGAGGTCCTCAAGAGCTCAAGGGGCTCTTTGCTTAGGAAACCCTTAACAGCAGGACCTTGAGATAATTGACTTCAGTCAGAAAACTTTCTGTTCTGGCCACAATTAAGATGAGGCAATCTTGGAATTTTCTCCCAGTTGTGCAGTTCCAGTGTTCCCAGGTTGCACAGTTCTGCTACCTCTCAGATCAGGCTGCAATTCAAGGAGCAGCAGTTCCAGGTATGTTCAGGGAGTGCCTGAGCATCTCAATGCACTATGCTTGAGCAAAAGCAAAATTGTGCCAGTGGCTTACGCTGAGATCACAGAGTAGCTTAGGGGTGGCACCACCACACCAGTGCTATGAACAGCAGCCCTTCTGTTTTCCTGTCCTCAAGACAATGGTCATGTTATTGTCGTTAAGTATTGTGCTGACTTTTTTACAGAGGCAGACACCAGGATCTTCAGTTTGCAAAAGGCCACTAAATCTGAGGATAAATCTGGAAGAGAACGAAGGAAGAGAAACCTGGAAGAGAAACAAGAGGCTCGTTTCTTCAGAGGAGGCTGACAGCCAAGACAGTACCATCCACAACATAACTGTGAAGGAGTTCACTGAGTTGTGCAATAATGAGCTGGGCTGCACACTCATGAAGGACAACAGTGAGACAGAGGCCTGTGAGGAGTTTGAATTACACTCTGCCATGGCTACTCCTTGGCCCAGTACAGGAGAGTAATCAGCCCATCAAAGCCCTGTCTCCACAAGTCCAGAGGAGCACTGAGGGCTTCACACAGGTGGGGAATTCAGGCTAAGGGCTCAGAGGAGGGGACAGCCTATACCGGCTCTCCTGCTGTCTCAGCAGTCCTACAGTCCCAGAGTTCAAGTGTGTATCCTGTCAAGATAAGCCATCACTGGAGCACCTTTTGAACTTAGGGGTCACTGTTTTATGAGGGTATGGGACATGGGATGGGATGCAGCACGAGACACTGTATGTTTTTTTTTATTAAATGACTTTCCATTTCCTAGTCTTTATTTGATACGCTTGTGTGTATGGGGCCCTAGTGCCAGCAGCTGGGCTGAGACCATGGTGTCAGGGACTAGAGACACCTACATGAGCCAAACCAGATTGACCAGGGTCAGCATCTGTGTGTGGTGTCTGGGGTGAGTGCGGGTGTGCTGTTCGAGAGCCAGCAAGCATGGAGGTGGACCGGCTTGTGAGTAGATGACACGTGGCTTGGGAGTCACGGGTGGGCTGGTTGAATCCCACATCTGTGGAGAAAATGGCATTGTCCTCCTGTCAGAGGCACCTGGCAGTAAGGGTAGGAGCAATGGGAACAAGAAGTTCCTATTCAGTGTGATAAATGTTCTTTTCTTATTGGACAGACATTGGAACAAGAGCCCGGAGAGGCTGAGGAGGCCCCAGCCTTGGACACAGCCAAAATTCACCTGGACAGGGCTTGGAGCAACCTGATCTCCCTAGTCCTGCTTTGTGCGTGGTCCTGTGCAAGGTGACATCCCAGATTTCCTTTAGGCTGACACCCTGTGATGACATTTTTGGCACTATGGGTATTCCCTCTCTATTTGAACTCTTCACTCTGTTCTCACTTTCTAGTAAGGCTGTGAGAGGAGAGGTCATGGATGTGGAAGACTGAATTTACCATATTGTTCTTTAGAACTGCAAGTTCTCCTTTTATTGTTCCACAAATGATCAGGCAGGAGGATCTGTGCTGCAGGCGCATCAAGGCCTGTGGGATGTTACCAAGACAGACATTTGGAAAAGAGTTACATGTTTAAGAGCTTAGGATGGGAAGCGTCCTCCACAGTTCTCTATTTTATTACGTGAAACTTTACCAGTGTCTCTAGGAAGACTTCTGACAGCTTATGCAGTTGCAGGGCAGAGTGCATTCTTTTCCAGTGGCAGAGTACCCTCTAGTGGAAGAGACAAGGAATTGGAGGTGCAACGGAACGAAGGTGGAAAGGCCTCCTGTGAGTGTCTTCTTAATTCGATGTGCTTGTTTTTATTTTCTGTTCTGACTTGTAAATGGAATCATAGAATCTCCCATGTTATAAGGGACTCATAAGGAACATAGATTCCAACTCCTGGCTCCGTGGAGGACCCCCCAAAAATCAGACTGTGTGGCTGAGAGCACTGTCCAAACACTTCTTGAAGTTTGTCGAGTTAGGTGCCATGACTACTGCACTAAGGAGCCAGTTCCAGGACTCACTGACCCTTACAGTGAGGAACATTTTCCTGATATCCAATGTGAATGTGAAAGCTTGGATATCCTTAACATCCAAGATACAAAGAAGATAGCTAATCCTCCCCCAGGCCAGTGATATCCAGGGCCACAGACTCAAATCTATGTGCTGCATTGCTGCCTTCCAGGTTTTTCCTTTAGGCCTGCCTTCACACACTTGTCCTTGTGCTTCTTGTTCTTCTGGAAGAAGAGGATTTCCCACAGCATCATGTCATGCATGCGTACCCAGCAGGACTGGCTGGCTAGATATCCGCAGTTCTCTCTCCAGCAGCAGATAACCTCCCTCAGGGTCATTGAAGATAGTAAAGTAAGGAAGTTCAGCCACAGTGTCACACAATGAAATGACCTTACAGAGGCTGTCCAGCAGAGAGCACTGACTAGGGTCATTGAAAGGCAAAGTGACCAATAGGGAACTTGATTTCAGTCCTGCCATGCAGCCCTGGAGAACATGCAATGAATCTTGCATTCCCAAAGGAATAGGGACGTGCTCCCAAGTCTGTTCTGAAACTGTGATGACTGAAAGAAATTCTAGAGAAAAGTGCAGGCTCTGGGCTGTGCAGCAGTGAGTGGCAGTGTGTCATGGTTTTATGACTTTTGTTATTGGTATTCCACATCATAACATCATGTAAAGCACTGGGAGTTAGAGAGTTAATGCTCCAGTTCTGTGGACCATGGATAGCTCATGGTACCTGGTTCTCAGAAGAGAACTACGTATCCTACAAGACTTTCACTATTCCATATCCATTTTCCATTCAGAGGGAAAGATAAAACTGCTTACAAGTCACAAGACTGCTCTTTCTTTTGCAGCTCCTCTCTGCAGTGTGTGCTTCCTAGCCATCTCACCTACAGCTTCAGAGTAAGGCCTTCGGTTTTGGACACTTTCATTCTATTCGATTTATTTGCCTCAATTCCAATCTTGTATTCCGATATCATATTTGGTAAATTAGTTTTTCTCCCTTATCTTCTAGTTGCTGTTTTGTTTTCAGGCCCATCACCCTACCCATTTCCCCTTTTTCCTCTTCTCCCTCTTCCCAGGTATGGGTCAGTGGTCCCCCACTCCGTTACTCATGGAAACAGGTCGAACTGGCCCGTAAACCATTGACACAGTGTCCAGCTGGACTTGTAAGGTTATCCCTATACACTGCTGGAAGGTAGTACAGGATTTATCCTCAGTGCAGAAGTGTAATTTTCCTAAGAGTAAAAAGGTAGCTCTGGTGATTGAGAAGGAAGAACTGAAAATATGATGAAGTGCACATCAAGGACTCAGAAAACAGGTGGACAGGAATAGTTTCAGCTTTTCTAGGAAGTCTCACATACAGGCTTTTTTAAAAACACTTCAGTACTGGACATCTGCAAGTAAGATTAACATGTTTGCCTTTTTTTGTTTGCTTGTTTATTTTCTTCCACTAGTGATCAGGTAGAAGTTTAAAAGCACTCTTTTGATTCTTTCTGCTGAAATGGCATTAATTGTTCCTTTTGGTCTTAGTAATCGCAAAAGGAAGTCCCTTCAGGAGGAAAAACATTGCCAAGAAGCTGAGACCAAACCCAGCCCCACTAACAAGACGCAGATAAAATGCTCAAGTTATCTTTACTTTCAGTGTACCCTTCTCAGGAGTTGCAGGAGGTTCTGTGGGAGGGCAGAAATCTTAAAAATTTGTAGTAGCACTCTCACCTTTCTTTTGAGATGTCTTTCTCCCCAGTGATTACCCTGATCTTCTTCCAGTTACCTGTCCCTAGGAAGACGGAATTAACACTGTCTGGGTGCAACATTTGTTTGTCTCTGTAATATGCGATGTGCTTCTGAACAGGTCTGTGGAGCAAGTCGTGTCCTCAGCCTTTGTCTGACAGGTTTTTAAAAAGCCCCTATATGAAGATAGTGAGAGAGATATGAGAAATCATTGAAGCAAAAAAGACCATTGTGTTGTACTGGGAAATAAGGGACGGGAAGAGTATGCCTGATTAGATACTGATATCTTAGATGTATCAAAGATGAATGGTGTACAACGGCTCCCACTTCTATGAAGTCCACCTAATGCAAAACATCCTTTTACAGCAAAGATTAAACATGTCCATTTTACACTATGAGAAGGACACTGAGAACCTGGAGCATGTCCAAAGAAAGGCAAAGAAACTAGTGAAGGGTATGGAGCACAAATCTTACAGGATGATTATTCAGTCTGGAGAAGAGGAGACTCAGGGGAGGCTCCATCACTCCCTACAATTAACCTGAAAAAAGATTGTGGAGAGGGGCATGTCAGTCTCTTCTCTCAGGTAACAACAGGACAAGAGGTAATGGCCTTAAGTTGCACGGGAGGGGGGGTACAGGTTGGATATTGCAAAATACTCCAAAAGAGTGATGCACAGGCTGCTCAGGGAGGTGGTGGAGTCACCGTCCTTGGAGGTGTTCAAGAACCATGTGGATGTGCTGCTGAGGGACATGGTTAGTGAGCATGGCAATGGTTGGTGGTTAGACTGGATGTTAGCAGTCTTTTCTAACCTTTATCATTCTCTGATAACAGGTAATAAATGCTCTGAAACAGGCTGGACCTCCATATAAAGGTATCCAAGTATTTGTGAGTTTTGGTAGTCTAACTTGAATTTGATGTTGAAGGAGGGATATGTGAATTCACAGAATCAGAGCCAGAGGAATGCTAATCAGCAGCCCAATAATCTTGATGTGACCTCCAGCAGCTGATATGGCCGGTAAAATTCAGTACTTTTCCCACAGCTGAAATCTCTATTACTACCAGTAGCCTTAGTCTAACCCTCTATTTTCTCTTCCTGAAAATGACAGCAGCATGAATCAGCTGTACTGTATATTTCTTTCTCAAACCTGAAAAAGTTTTGCATTTTTTGGCACAAACGTTCCTCTTAGAGGAGGTCATTAGCCTAGAAATCAAGGGAAGAACCAAGAAAGGCATTCGCAGCAGAGCTTCCACTGAGAAGGCAAAGGAGAGACTAAAGTTGTCTTTAAGTTGAACTTATTCATGACAGGAGAGATCAGATCTCTTTCACCAGCATACAGGTAGCAATGCAGGTGAAAAAAATAAAAGGAGCAGCACAAATAACTCCAAATTTTAGGACAAGTTACTTCACCACTTTTGTTCTCATTAACTTCTAAGGCTTTATCGCATTGAAGCACTGGTATTGGCTCAGCTACCACCTGCTTTGGGAAAGGCAACAGAGATTGCCAAACTGAGCTGGGATGCAAAAAGGAACAGTTGAAATGACAGCACAGAACAGAGCTGAAAGAGACTTTTGTGTCTTCTTGTTCCATGATGAATATGAAAAGTTTCTATTTTCTGAAGTTGCTGGACTGCTTGGAGTACTTCCCATTTGCCTCCGTCTGCCCTGAGGTTACCTTTGCTTTTTACCTACTACTTCAGAATTACCTTCTCCTTGCTCAGCTCTGGGTTTTGAGAGAAGCAGCTCTTTTACTTTCCAGACCCTTTCATCATTTTCTTTTTTCTTCTTTTTGTTCCGCCAGCCCATTGAGGCAACAGAAAAATGTAGACAAATAGAAAATTGTTCCACCTCAGAAGATATGAGTTGATGGATGATCTAATTGATGACCTAACGAAAAATATTCAAGTCCCTTGAATGTCCCCCTTATCTTCTTGAAGGGCAGAAAGATGTCCTTGGGACTTCCCTACTTCTGCTGCTTTGTTGGCACAAAGCACTTCTGGATAAACTTGTTTTAAGCTGTACAGTCCACAGTTCT